TAAGATTAATATAATAATTTTTTATAATATTTAAAATAATTGAATTAAGTTTATTAATATATTTAAAAAATGAGAATGAGAGAGAGATTGGGCAATGTATATTTTGAGCATGTTTTTCGTACATTGCTGGGTCAATCTCTAGAATGCCCAAAGGGTTTTGGTCAATCTAGAATATATGCTTCAGTTGGTTGCGTTTAGAACATGGGACGAGAGTGGGAGGGAGTAAGGGAAGTGTTTTTAAGCTCGTATAAGTAAAACAAACTGTGAATATTGAAAAATCTGTACACTATGTTAGTAACATGTTTTGATCAATCTTTAAAATTTTCATGGGGTGGGAGGGGTGAGAGGAAAGGTAGGTCATACAAGTGTATTTAACTATATATACATATATATACTTCTTTAATTAAAATTCTTCATTCGAGATGTGTTTTGAAGTATTGATTTTTCTGAACAACTGAAAAAATAATTTTCCATAACCTTAACGTGTTTAAAAATGAACGAATCACTTCGTAACATTAGAACGTGAGAATAAAAATACATTTGAAAAAACTGGTTAATAGAAAGAAAAATAAAAAGAGGTGGCGGTGAGAGGGGGCAGAGGAGAGGAGGGATGGTATAAATTTAAAGATCGCACACTAAGGACGAGGATATTTTCGGTACTAAAATGGATTGATTCAGGGACACACTATATATCCTTAAGACTTTTCCTTTTTCCTTTTCCTTGCGTCCCTTTTTCCGAAGAAGGTCAAAGAGATAAGACTTTGCTGAAAACATGTAGAATAGAATAGGATAGACAAAAAGAAGAATAAAACATTTGGTTAGACGTGTTAAGGAAAGAGAAAAATTCCCCTTAAAAAAGGGAAAGAAAAAAAGAAAGGGACAAAAGATAGAAGAAAAAAAGGGGTTAGAAAGAAGAACGACTCGTATAGGTAAGATTCGAACCAAACTGTGTTGGTGGAAGATGGAACGTAGGAACAGAGAAAAAAAAAAAAAAAAGTTAAAAAGAAGAAAAAAAAGAAAAAAAAGGAAGATAGAAATGGAGATGGAAAAGGAAGAAGGAGAACATCGAAGGTGAGACTACGAAGAACGTGTTAGATTCTACGAAACGTGTGGATCAGACACATAGAAAACCATAGAGAGAGAGAGAGAGAGAGAGTGAGTGAGAGAGAAAATGAGATTGAGAAAGAAGATGAGAGGATCGAACAACCCGATATCGATAGCCTATACGATTCCTTTTCCACACGTATACATAGAGACTATTTTATTCGATCGGCTGAAAGAGAATTACTTTCTCTCGTGGCTAGCCGCACACCCCCTTTCTCAATCCTCCCCCTCCTCCTCCTCCTCCTCTAACTCCACCTCCACCCCAACCCAAAGAAACCAAGAAAAAGAAAGACGAAAAATTGTCGAGATAGAAAATGATATAATTTTTTGTTGCACAGGATTTTATATAATATAATAAAATAATCTTATATGTGTTGCATATAGAAATTTTCAATTGGGTTTTAAAAATGATAAACAAAATTGTTTCTATATAATTTAATTATTAATATTCTTGTCGAGAAATAAATATTATTAATATAAGTATCAAAGGGAATTAGAGACGGTTGTTAAATCTTATGAACAATTTATTTGGAACCAGTTGTGTGAACAAT